CATAATTCCCGATGGTCTTTCTCAGGGTCCTTGAAGATATCTCTCAGGATTCCTGAGGTCCGAATCCCGAAGGATCTTGCAGGATTCCCGAAGTCCTGAGGTCAGGATCCTTGGGGATCCTTCAGGATTCCCCCAAATTCCTGATGTCAGGATTCCTGAGGGTCTCTCAGGATCCCTCCAGATTCCTGAGGGTCTCTCAGGATTCATCCGGATTTCTGAGGATCGCTCAGGAGGATCTCTCAGGATTCTCCAGAATTCCGGAGGATTCTTGAAGGTCAGTCAGGATTCCCGCGAATTGTTGAGGATTCTTGAGGGTCCCACAGGATTCCCCCGAGTGCCTCAGGGTCCTCCAGGATTCTCTTGCATTCCTGAGGAATTCTGAGGGTCTGCAGGTCTCGTAAAATCTCGTAAGATGCCTGAGATGGTTGAGATTGGGCCCACTTCTGGTTGCAATCCACTCCGAACGGTTGGAGTTGGGACAAGTCTGTGGGGATCCGTCCTATTTCCGCCCTCCCCCACCTCCTTCGGGCGGGTGATAGTGGGGGCTTGACGTACGCTGCGACCCACGCGGCGCAACACTGGCATCGACCACGAGGGGGGAACAGCACGGACCCCACCAGGCCTCCCGACGCAGACAGCCAAACCCTAGGCCACATCTGCACGGCTGCGCCGTCTGCCTTCATGGGCCAGCGCTGTCGCCCGGACCCGCTTGGTTGGCCAGTGCTGCGGCACACCCTGGCCCCCCAACGCAACAGTTCCTGCCGCCAGGCAAATCCCCCGCCTCACCAGGGAATTGGAACCAATGACTTTTTAAGCGCCCGCCAGGACATATGCGCCCGTTCGGCCCCATCGCAGCGTAGCGACTGGACTTGCGGCCTTGCCCAGCCTTCGGCCAGGCCACAGCCCACGCAGGATCGTAATACCGCGTCCGCCGCTAGTATCACGGCGCTTGAGTAACGTGCCTCCTGCCTCGCTTTTGGGTTGTGCAACGTCAAGGAACAGGCCAGACCCTTTTCCCGACCGGTCCCACAGAGCTGCCCTTTCTCGGGGCCTCTCTCAAGGACCGCCCCCAGGCGCGACTTGCAGCTCATCGCCAGCGCGCCAGTGCTAGCCACCTCCGTCCTTTCACAGTTTCGTGCCCTGAGAGAGCTGCAGCGAGCTCCGTTGTCCGGGCGCTGGTCCGCCGAGAGGCGTCGCAAAGCGGCGCCTTCATCACACGGGGTTATTGCCAAAGGCCGGAGTCTCTCACCAGTCTTCGGAGCGCAGACAGGGTGCGCCATGCCCTGATCGCCACGCTTCGCCAGGTTTTCCAAGTCGGGGTTCCCTTCTCGACCGCGGCAGGGCGGATGTTCGCAACACCTGCCATTTGCGCGCGGCCCCCCCCGTCAACGAGGCGCGGGCAGGGCGCGCCTATGCCTTTCGCCCGCGGACGGCCACTTCGTCTGAAGGGTTGCACTCTCTCTTTCTGCCTCCCGTTTCCCTCATCCACCCTGCCCGTTGCGT